GCCTCATATGGCGTCTTCCCGTCGAGGCTTCAGGTTGGTGACCGATTGAGGAGATAGACGGTCGTCATTATCGCCTCTCCCTAGAATCTCCCAGGCATCCTAGCCGTCGCCAGCAATGACATCGCTATCCCGACAATGGTTTTAGTTTGGTGCTCCACCATTACATTCTGTTGGGGGGAGTAGAGCGCCGTTAGGTGCCATTGTATATCGATCTTGTCGCAGTATTTACAGAAACTTGCCGAGGTGAATTCTCTGCCTCAGTCTGTGCGTAGCACTCGCATCTTCTTCTCACATTCGACCTCCGCTTGCGCTTTAATGCGCTTAACCGCCTCTGCCGCCTCACTTTTCACTTGCAGCAGGGTAAGCCACATGAAGCAGCTTTTTTCATCGTCGTGTACAAGCTCCAACGGCTCATCGGCGCAGTAGGATGTGGAAATGATGTACCGCTGGCCTTTTGTTGTACCAGGCCTCATATGGCGTCTTTCCGTTGAGGCTTCGGGTTGGTAACCGATTGAGGAGATAGACAGCCTTCATTATCGCCTCTCCCCAGAATCTCCTAGGCATCTCGACCGTCACTAGCAATGACCTCACTGTCCCTCTACCTTCATTATCGCCTCTCCCCAAAATCCTTCTCTTCCACGACTTCTACCTCTACCTGCTAAATAAATACTTTCTCTTTTGTTGTTTTCATTGTTGGTTGTCTCCTTCACTTGTAGTGCCTTTTCTTTGTTCCTTTCTAATGATCTATTGATTCTTGCCTCATGAGCTTGAAACGAGCCCATCAGTTCATCAACTGAGAGTATGGATAGATCCTTAGCTTCTTCTATGGTAGCCACCACATGGTCAAACTTTGGAATCAAGCTTCTCAACACCTTTGCAACAATTGTTTCGTTTGAGATTTTTTCTCCATAGGTACGCATCTGACTGACTATTGCCATTGTTCTTGACAAAAAATCAGCAATTGATTTGCCATTCGTCATGAGTAGAGTCTTATAATCACGTCTTAGAGATTGCAATTTCACTGTTATGACCTTTGAATCTCCTAGAAACTTCTTATGTAGAATTGACCATGCTTGCTTTGATGTGGTTGCTACTGCAATTCGTGAAAAGATAGTCTTGGCATCATTTTTCTTGGTTTCTCTTAGTCTCTCCTTTTCTTCTATTGTGGGTTCTAATAGATCAACAAACTCGTGCTACACCAAGTCCCATAGTTCCTGCGATCTAAGCAAGGTTTTCATCTTAATGCTCCACCACTCATATTTCTCACCATTAAAGATTGGTAAACGGTGCGGAGGAAGAAAAACCAACTACTACCATTTTTGTTTTATGAAGAAAATAATCACTCACCCTCGTGCTGAACGAACTTGGCTCTAATACCAAATTTGTTGGGAAAAGGGACAGTGAAAGAGATATGAAAAGATAAAATGGATCAAAGGTGCTTTATTATCGTTTTGTGACTCCATGCTTAAAGGGTTACACAATTCCAGTATTTATATGCTAATACGGCGTACTAGAAATAGTAAATTATGGAAATCTAGATAAATTCAAATCTACTAACAATCTTCTAAAATCTTGGTAGTTTGAATATTTGAATCATATCTCAACTGCTTTAAATCATATCTTCATTTTGAATACTTTGAATCATATCTCAACCACAGCAACTTCGTCATCCGTACAAGGGTACCTTACCTTTCCCTACAAAATAAGAGTAGAACATGATTTGAGTATTTTATGATATATTTAGTAAGTAAACTCACTATTGGGATTGGAAAATGCAATTTTATGTAATCATGATTGAGACCAGCCCTTTACTTATCATCATGGCCTTGGTCTCACTTTCAAGTTCGGACTTAAATTGGATGCGAATTACTGTTCTACATACAACCCTTGCATGTCTGCATGAACTCCAAAGCGAGCTCGTATACATATCATTTGACCTAGCCTTCAACTAGTGTACCCTCACGCCACAAAAAAACTTGACATAAATCATGGCATATACGTATGATGCAGATCATAACTTTGTTCTTTCATAAATAACTTTCATGAATAACATATTTTGTTTAACAGTATTTCATAATCCTAAACATGTTAACATGGTGTGTGTAACACAACATAGAGAAGTATTATGTATCATAAAACAAAGTGCAACAACCCAAAGTAAGGATAAAACTAACTCAAGGAAACCAAGAGAATGATTTATTGCATTTATGTAAGGACAACAGTCTTGAGCAAGAGATTTCTATACCCTAAGAATTAATTTAAGGATTTAAGACATTAGAAAAAGGATTGGAAAAGAGGAGGCAAACGAAAAAGACAAAAAATGACATTTCTTTCCAATTTATAAAGAACTTTCCGAATGTTTAGTTCATTATCTAGAATGAATTTTAATATGCTCAAGAAAGGAAAAATGACCAGTTGAGGATGAAAAAATTTATACAAAAAATTTATATTTATTTAGAAAAATAATAATAAAATATTAAAAAAATAACACATTACCAAAATAACCCTTAAAATAGGGATAATTATGAAAATGCCCTTCTTTCCACAATCATAACTTCCACAATCATAACTTCCACAATGACCTACACACAATCTATTGAATCTCACCAGCATTGGATCCCTCTAAAATTGGACAAAGTCTAGAATGTTGACAGATCACCTCAGAATTAAAATTGGAAGTCAATAACTCGCTGATCAAAGAGGATGTTTCTAATGGATTATCTAGAAAATTAATCTCTAAATCACGACAATGATGGAGGTTTCAACATCGGTGTAAGTTTTCTCTATAAAGTCTGAAGTTGAATCGATCTCTTAATCACAAGCAATAAGAGTTTAGATTTTGGGTCTCCTACTCTCAGATTTCTTCCAAATTCGAGAGCAATTCTCCCTTATTCCCCTTTAAACTTGTTACTACAACTTCTAAATAAGATTACAAACAAGATTTATGAAGTAATTGAGCATTGAAAATGCCTAAAAGCCATTCCCCCAATCCGATCCGTCATTGAAGAACTTCAAAGTAAGCTTGAAAGCCTACACACAAGTTCGTCGACCAAGACAAATTCTAACAAGTTTCCGCACCTCCAAGAAGTATTTTCATAGAAGATCGCAAAGAAAAATAACCTCATAAATGTGCCCAATTGAAGGAAATCCGTTTCTTGTAGAATTTGGGAGTAAGTGTTGAATTCCTTTCTACGATCCCTTTTCTTTCAAATTAAAAATTTCTTTAGATTAAGAGGATCAAGTTGAGTAACTTTGACGTAGGAATTCAGAGTTAAAACGTTGTAGAATGAGCTATCTAAGAAAAGAAAAATTCACGTTTTTAGATGAGTAGTAGACAGAGGACTATTTTTCAAAATTAAGGTATCATTCAAAAAGACATTCCTCCAAACAAATTCTTTTAGCTTGAGGAAACGATAAAGAAGAGGTTCTATGAAATAATCGGGCCTTGAAAACTCCTAGAATCGGCTACCCAATAATGAATCACGAGAAAACAGATTTGAGACAAACTTTGGAGGCGCATATCTTAGAATACGATACACGAGAAGGTATGAAATCAATCACTAGCTCTTCTTTGTAACACCAACTTTAGTTTCCTTTAGAAATGAGGGAAGAAACATTGTAAGTCAATCCCTAGCTCTTCCTTCCAGACCAATTCTTATGAAAAAATTTATGGTTCTAGAAACTGTACACAATAAGAAAAATGTGGAAGAAAATTTGAGGTAATTCGCGAAAGCTCGAAAACAAAGGTCCTGAACATCAACGATAAGGTAAGTAGCCATCTTGGACTTTTCTTAAGAAATACTTGTAGCAATAATTTAGATTTTTGTATGCATCTTAAACCAAGTATGAATTAAGGGTATATGAAAGAAAAATACAAAGAAATGTGAGTTAAGGCCCTTAACGATCAAATTGCTCGATGTTTAAGTAACACTAAAATAACCCCTCTATTTACATTTCCTAATATAATTTCTATTAAAAAATATAAAATCATAATAAATTTATAATATTAAAACTTAGGATCAAATTCTATTTTTTATTTTTACATTTTTCATAAAACATAAGTAGTTGAAGTTGATTAAGTATAATAAGTTCATATTTATAATTAGCCTAAATGAAAACTAGTTACTAAATTTTATGAAGTATTTAACAAAATTTTAATGTTTTAACTTTTAAGTGGAGTGTTGGTTGGAATATTAATATGCCTTTTACAAATGATCTCTTTTGGTGGAGAGAAATACTTTCTAGCTTTTTTTTTTTTCTTAATTTCTCTTTTTTTTTTTTTTTTTAAGTCTTTCTAAGAAAAATATGACCACTTCGAATCCATTTTAACTCTTTTTTATGAAAGATTCATGATGTAATTTCTGAGAACGTGCATTTTGGTTACAAAATTGATGGAATTTTAATTTACCTTAATGGTTCTTTTGACGGTTGATCATTCTTTGGCCTTTTGATCTTCATATCAGGAGGACTCACCTGTAATCAATGGACTCCACGTTTGGGACAAATCTTATAATAAACTCTTGAAAATTCAATTTGCATACGATTGCTTATATTATGAGAAGAGCCCATGGCCTAATGGATAAGGTGTCTGACTTCGCATCCTATTCACCTTGAGATTCATACCATCTTTGTGCATGAGATCGCCTCTGCGCATATGTAGTTGTGCATGTCGACCCCTTTGTGTATATGCTGGTTCAAAACCAGTGAGTGATACTTCTTTTTCCATCGGTTTGATCTTTATTTGTCTATGTTTTTTCTCGATTTCGATATTGACCTAATTTTAATGGGAAATTACGTCCAACCAGAAGAATTTTAGAAATTTTTAGCACCTGTCGTGTGGAAAATCGAGCTAGACATGATCACTATGATGTAAATCCATCTTAAGATGAGTCATTGGAGGTAACCACCCTAAATTTTTCTACTTAACTAAAGTAGCTACTATACATTTAATCGTGAACATTTAATGCGTTACTACTTTATTGGGCCTTATCATATTTCATTATTTGCATGACTTGGAATATACAAATACAAAGAAAATAATCAGTGCAGATGGGTCCAAAAAGAAAAAATTATTGACCCGAAATTTTGAAATACGGCATTAAAACAACCTTATTTACCTTAATTGAGGTCGAAAATTTGTTTGGAAGGGTCGAAACAGTACAGTTAGGTCCAAAAAGGGATTCTCAAGATGAGAAGTCGCGCTTGAGAGCAAGGGATTTTTGCATCGGATGGTGACACTTGGTGCAATAGGGAGATTCTGCATGTTTAGGCTATTTAAGGTCGAGGCGTGGGTCGCATGCGGATTGTGAATGTTTGATTAATCCACCATACCTAAATGGTGTGAAAGTTATCTTATTTATAATCAAATAAATTACAAGGATATGGAAATAGTAATAAATGGAAAGATACCTATGATAATAAGGCAAATATTAGATATTTGCCTTATAATAAAATATCAAATATAATATATATGATAATCTATAATTTATTACTAAATATCCTTAACACGGATTATGGGTTAGTTGCAAGTTCGATTCTGGGCTAACTGTGCCTGGTAACCGGGCTGAGTTGTCGGTTGGGTTTCTGTGACTGCAGAAAATCGACTGATCCGTGGAAGGTAGATCGACTGAAGATTGGATCGAGTCACGGTTTTAGTTTGCGTGCTTGGCGAGGGTTGAAGAAGGTTATCGAGGGTTCTGAGCTAGAATGGATTGGGTCACAGTTTTGGTGTGTCGGCTGGGCACGGGTTGCAAGACTCTAGATTGGGCTGAGAGATTGGTCTGGATGGGTTACGGATCCAGGTCGACCCGAAGTCCACGAACATCGTCTTCTCTACCCGTTTCCTTTCTCTCTCTTTTGTAACGCCGTTTCGGTGTCCGTTTTCCCTTGGTTTCACGTCGTCTCTCCTCCCTCTTCCCTTTTCTTGTGTCAGTTTGAATCGTAGAGGCTTGAAATTCTCAAATCTGTTAAGGTTCGAAAG